AAATAAATATCAAAATAAATAAATAAATAAATAAATAAATAAATAAATAATTTTGTCTTGTGAAAAATTCATCTTGCGAAACGTGTTTTCCCATAGGAATGCCTTGAAATCTAATTAATGCATTCCTATGGGCAAAAAAAGTCAGAACAAAGTCAAATTTGGTTTACAAAGGGTTTATTAAGTGCTCTTTAAAGCCATACATATTGTGCAAATGCTTTAAAAAATTTCAATCAAAAAACTTTTTTTAAAACATCATAGGAAAACATTTAAAAATCAGCAAACATTAGGCAGGAACAAAAAATGGAAAACATTCATCTTGCGAAGCATGGCCATAGGAACATTTGTCTTGCGAGTCATCAACCCCAATTGCCAAAACCATTTGCCTTGCGAGTTTTTTGTCCTGCGAGGCATTTGATTGCTCCATCAGACAAGTTATTAAAAATATAGGCAAGGCAGGAGGGGGAGACGTGATCTTAAAGTCATGTAATCTACTTGGTGTGTTGAGATGTAAGGAGGAGAAAAGACCTGAAGCCTCTCAAATGGGGCTCATGAGGTGATGTGGTAATATTAAATTTCACCTATAGTATCTCCTAGGTTGCTGGAACAGAGAGAAGCAAAATGTATCACTTTCTCCTTTGTAAATACTGTACAGAACTACACTGTAAGTTTAGCACTGTCTCCATCCCAGGGAAAGTTTGTGGATTCCTTTCTTGGTGGAAAACATAGATAGTGCTAATACTTAGAAGGCTGAAGATAATTTTAGATGGTGAATTAGGTTAAAAAAAAAGTAAAGAGAAACCAACTATGGAAACTATACCTTGCAGCTGAAGAGGACTGACTTGTTGTGACTAAGGTTCTAATTTCAAGTGGTATAAAATCCTTATCCTCTAGTGTACGGTCCCACTGCGCAACTGTTAAATTTAGTGTTGTCCTAATTCTTTGGGAATTAGACTAGTCATAAAAAGTACAGTTTAATGGCACTCCTTGGTAAACTTCTCAAGTACATAGCTGGATCAGGCTATTCAAAATGAGAGTGTGTTACCATTATTATTCTCACAAGAATCCTATGAAGTAACATCACTCCTGAGTAGCACATAGATAGAGGATAATAATTCTTCCAGATAGTTTAGACTTCAGCTCACAAAAGTTCCATCCAGCAAGGCTAATTGTTCGGATCCAAAGCATCAGGAAAACAAAAGGTTTTCATCCCATTGTAACCTGAAGTTGAAGATCTAGTTCTCAAGACTAAGTGGCTTTGTTAGTCTCTTAGTCATCTAGTCCCAAATAGACAATGCACGCAAGACAGCTGTCACCGACATGGAACTGTGTAGACTGTAGATGGACATTGTTGCCCTGCAAGAGACAAGATTGCCAGACTCAAGATCTGTCAAATTAAAAAAATTCTCATTCTCCTGGCAGGGGAAACCATTGAATGAAACTAGGGAATATGGTGTTGGCTTTGTGGTTAGAAATACTCTGCTGAGATCCATTGTTCCACCTACTGCAGGGAGTTAAAGAATCCTGTCTTTGCAGTTCCACTTATCAGCAGGACTGGTCACCTTCATTAGTGCATATGCACCAACACTATCATCTACAACAAAAGTCAAAGACAAATTCTATGACGATCTGGTAGCTGTTATTAAAAAAATCCCCGAGAGAGAGCCGCTGTTCATTCTCTGAGACTTTAATGCTAGAGTTGGTGCTGATCACAACTCTTGGCCTACTTGTCTAGGCTGTTTTGGCATTGGGAAGATAAACGAAAATGGCCAATGCTTGCTGGAGTTTTGCTGTTATTATGGTCTTTGTGTCAGCAACACGTTCTTTAATATGAAGCTTCAACACAGAGTTTCCTGGAGACATCCAAGATCCAAGCATTGGCATCAGCTCAATTTGATCCTCACTAGACGTTCTAGCCTTCCTAGTATTACGATCATACCAGAGTGCTGTTTGTGATACTGATCACTCCCTGGTGTGTAGTAGATTAAAACTGCGAACAAAGAGATTATATCACACAAAAAAGGAAGGAAGACCATGTATTGACATCAGCAAGACCCGCGATCAAAGAAAAGTGGAGGAATTTGCCCAAGTGCTTGAGAAAACCCTTCCAGGCCCAGCTGATGCAAATGCACCTGATTTCCAAATAGAGTAGTCCTAGAACAAGCTGGTATTTTTAGCATGTATACATTACTGAAACTATGATGTCTACGTTAGCTCGGGCATGTCGTGAGAATGGCTGATGGTCGGATTCCAAAAGATCTTCTGTATGGAGAAGTAGTGCAGGGAAAGCGCTCCAGAGGGAGACCACAGCAACGATACATGGATATCTGCAAGCGGGATCTGAAGCCCTTAGGAATGGACATCAACAGATAGGAAACCTTGTCATCTGAGCATTCAGCCTGGGGGCAGGTTGTACATCATGGCCTCTCCCAATTTGAAGAGACCCTTGTCCAGCAGGCCCAGGCAAAGAGGCAGTTACGAAAGCAGCAAAATCAGGGAGCTGGACAGGGGACAGATTGGATTTGTCTTCAGTGTGGAAGGGATTGT